TATCAGATTTTCTGGTCACTTTAGTCTTTATGTTTGTCAGTATTTACTGACGTCACTCAGGCCACTTAAGTTGATTTCTTTTTTTTTTTAAGTTCTTTTTTAAAAAACTTTCAGTTGTGGTAAAAAAAAAAGGTGGTTGAATAAAGGTTTGAATTTGAATTCAGTGCTTGTGTGTTCTTTATTAAAAGTAGGTCATTAAGCGATAGCATAAAACATCCAGGGCTGCAATTAAAATATATGTTAAATTTTGTTGATAATTATCGATATCGATCAATATGATTTATTTTTTATCGATATGCTTTTTTTCTATATCGTCCAGGCCTAGGCAAGTGTCAATAAAAGTTTCCTATTATTTTTCCCCAGCCACTCAAATGACCAGTGTCCTGCTTTGACCGACCAGTGAGGATCAGTCTCTACTTTGAGAGGCTCACACACAAAGAATCCTTCATAACATTACACACACACGCACACACACAGAGCAGCGATCTGAAGTAAACATAGGTATTAACTGTATAAATTTCATCACCAGAGTCTCCCTCATCTACACGCCTGTGTTCTCTCATCCACTCAGACACACTTATGTTCACAAAGCTACAGCTTTCACAGGTGCTCATCACACCACAGTACTGTTTAACGGAGATCTGACATAAAATAAAGGAGGAAACGTGACCTCAAAAATATAAAAGGTCCTGATCTCTGTCCACCACACATCCTAGCAGAGACATAATTAATTAAACCTTCAGGAAATATTTCTCACCTTCACTCTGGTGTCCAAAACAGTCAGCATTATCAGTCATCCAGCTCCAACAGTTCAATAATCCACCAATATTATTCACATCCCATTTCTCGCGGTCAGCGCGTTTCATCCATTTGCATTGTGTGAAAAAAAAAGGGGGGGGGGCTCAACTGCATTGAACCACCTTTTGGGGGGGCGCAAAAAGGTTAAGAACCCTTGCTCTAAGGGACTGTTTTAAATCAACAGACTGGAATGTGCTGCCGGAAAACAGATGTGGATAGTATGAACATTGACAAACAGGTTGACTGCTTTACTGAATATGTCACCTTCTGTAGAGACACAGTTATACCGACAAAGACTGTTCACTGTTTCCCCAACAACAAACCCTGGATCACAAGTGACATAAAAGCAATCCTTAACCAGAAAAAGAAAGCTTTTAAAGATGGTGACAAAGAACGATTCTAACAAGTGCAACAAGAGTTGAAGAGGAGACTGAAGTTGGCAAAGCTGGAGTACAAAAAGAAGATGGAGAAGAATCTGCAACATCCATGAAGTGTGGAAAGGAATCAGTACCATCTCTGGACACAGCAATAAAAAGAAAAGACAGCCAGTGGTGGGTGATCTGGAAAGAGCTGATGAACTCGACCTGTTCTTCAACAGATTTGACACTGCTTTCACACCCACTTCCACTGCTACTCCACCTTCCTCTCTGCAACAAATCTCCACTACAACTTCTCTTCTTCCTCCCCCATCTCGTCCAGATGTCTCAACCACTTCAACTACCTCCCTCCTAGACCACCAGTCCTTGTCTGTCACTGAAACAGGGGTGAGGTTGGAGCTTGGAAGACTTTGTCCTGGGAAGGCAGCTGGTCCAGATGGTGTGTGTCCAAGGCTCCTTAAAGACTGTGCTGCAGAACTGTGTCAACCTCTCCACAGGATCTTCAACCTGAGTCTACAGCTGGGGCGGGTACCTGCTCTGTGGAAAACATCCTGCATTGTGCCAGTACCAAAAACAATATGTCCTACTGAACTCAATGACTACAGACCAGTGGCCCTCACTTCACACATTATGAAAACCCTGGAGTGGCTAATTCGACACCTTCTGAGGTCTGAGGTCAGAGACAAACTGGACTCCCTGCAGTCTGCATACAAAGAACACATTGGAGTGGATGATGCTGTCCTCTACATGCTTGACCGTTCCCTGTCTCATCTGGAGGAGCTTGGGGTTTATGTGAGGATCATGTTCTTCGACTTTTCAAGTGCATTCAACTCCATCCAACCCACCATACTCAAAGACAAGCTCACAGAGATGGAAGTGGATCTTTCCTGTGTTTCCTGGATCGCAGATTACCTGACAGGAAGGCCACAGTTTGTCAGGCTGGGGAACTGTGTTTCTGGGACATTCATGAGCAGTACAGGGGCTCCACAAGGGACAGTGCCTGCACCATTCCTGTTCCCACTGTACACGTCAGACTTAGGACTGGGCGATTTTATGATCGTGATTGATGATTGTGATAAATTTCAGTTGGATCACGGTGATCAGCTGTGAGCATATTTACTCGATCAAACAAAGAGGAAATGTGCGTCACAACAGCCAATCAGAGTCAAGCTTTTCCTGTTCACTTCTGTAAGGTGCTGGAGAAGCACACAGAATGACCGAACGTGGACCTGAAAGCCGAGCCAAGGGCAGCTAAATAGATGTCAGCCGTGACTAAGAGTCATCCTCCGAAGATGTTATTGTTGAGAAGTTATTCAATGTCGGTTGTGTGGTAGTGGTTCGGGTATCTCCAAAGTGACATCAATCAATTTAAGCCGATGTGTAATGTATGCCAGCGGTCAGTGCCTTCAAAAACCGGAAACACAACAATTCTGTTTAATCATTTGAAGAAGTACTTCCAGAGTGATTATGCGGAAAGCATGAAAATGTGAGCGGAGTCTACACAGCCTGTCACTGCTGACGGTACTAGTAGCATTAGTAGTTTAGCAACAACTAACGACACAGCCACCAGACCAGAGCAGCAACCAATCATATCATCTAAGTTTACATCATCTAATGTTTACATTTTAAGGCGTCTTCATTATGCCAGAAGGGGGCCATTTGTTTATTTTGGGTTTTGCATACCTGGAAAACACTAAGGACTGTAAACTAGTTCACTGTATTATTTAGTATTTATCTATTTTTGTTGTGTTGCTGAGTTAAAATGGTTTTTATATTTTTGTAAGTTTATCTTATTCTTTGTTATTTACTTCGTATGTTAATAAAATGTTGAACTAGGGCTGAAATGATTCCTCAAATACCTCGAGTACATTGATTACAAATAATGATCGAGGAATTTTCTCTGCCTCGAGTACTCGTTTATAAGCTCAAATTGTCACTGTTTCGCACGGATTCTTTTGAAGGTGACACAATGCGCTTACATCACCATGGTAGAAGGAGGAGTAAGCGTTGTTTAGGTTTTGCGGAGCAGAAAAAATAAATTACGAGAGGGGCTTTTCTTGCAGTGTTGCCAACCTAGCGACTTTCCTTACTGAGGAGTTGGCAACACTGTTTTCTTGTGCAGAGCTCCAGTAGCTCATTAGCACTTAGCCTCTGAGTTGTGGGTGCTATTCAGCTCTTGGACACTATTTCATGATGAAAGTTAAAATCATAATTAGCTTTCTTACAAGCATTGCAATCCGCTAACGCACACGCTTGTTCCGTGATTGTCTTCTATTTCTCTGAGTCTGGCCTTCATTGCGGGGCTATAGGAAATCTAACTATGTGAGTCTGCCGTTTGGGTCCAATTACTGAAGTAATCGACAGAACACTCAATTACTAAAATATTCGATAGCTGCAGCTCTATGCTGAACGAATCTCTAGTTTCTTTAGTTTTTAGTACAGATACTTTAAAACTGGCAGTTAAAAAAAACAATAGTGATAATAATCGAGATTGGATGATATGACAAAATATATCGTGATCATTTTTTTGCCAAATCGCCCAGGCCTAGTCAGACTTCAAATATAGGACTGAGTCCTGCCAGAAATACTCAGATGACACTGCTATCGTGGCACATATCAGAAATGAACAAGAAGCTGAATACAGAGATCTAATAAGAGCCTTCAGTGACTGGTCACAAAAACTGGCTCCTCCTTAACACCTCAAAGACAAAGGAGATGGTCATAGACTTCTGTAGATCCAAACCCCCTCTTCAGCCAGTGAACACCTGTGGAGTGGACATCGAAGTGGTGACATCATATAAATACCTAGGTGTACATCTGGATAATAAGTAGGGATGTTCCCAGTGGTTAATTTTAATGACAGTTAAACGACCATTTTGAAACCAAACGTTAGAATACAGAAAAATTAATCAACCCCCAGAAAATAGCCCAAATTGAGCACATGTTGTTCTATATGGCCAGATATCATCTGAAATAAATATTAAGAGTACATGAAAGCCATGCTTATAATATTAAAATATGTTACAGAATCTTATTTTAGCGCTGGAGAATGACATGAAGTAAGTGAAAGATCAAAGCAATTAAGCTCCGCTGCGCTCAAGCCAAGCAGCCTGCTGCGTCATTGGCCTGCCTCACACCATAAGCACAAAATGAAGAGTCTTCACAGTCAGACAACATCACGTTCAAAGTTTATTTTTTTAACATCTCTGACAGCTTTAAGTCTGAATAACATTTATCCAAGAGTAGAGTTTCTTTTTTTTTCTTTCTCCCTGCATGGCCTATCTAGGCTATTGCTTGAGAAGCACACTGCACACGCACACACTGATGCAGTTTGTTTCATAAAAAATGAGATTACAAAATACAAATACAAACAAAATATAAGCCTGAACAAACAGGTCTATACTCTATAGCCTTTTATTTACTTGGCCTAACAGAAGCGGACCATGGCTTAATGAACAAACAACACAACACACTTAGTCAAACAAGCAAGCTCCATAAACAAATAAAATGAAATAAATTAACAATCAGTGGCAGTGCAAGATTTGGGGGTTTTACTCGCTCAGAGTCAGAGGAGGATTCGCAGTGATTCTTAAGTGGGCTAGGCCATACATTTTTGTTTAGCGAAATCAACATGTCAACATTTTTGGGTAAAAGACGTGACCTGAGGTGCGAGTCAATAAGTCCCGCAGCTGAAAAGACTCGCTCGGATGGCACAGATGTGGCTGGGATACAGAGATAGCGCATTGCAAGTCAGTGAAGTTTGGGGAAACTTGCCTCCTTTCCTCCCCAACACTCAAGTGCATCTGTGTTTAGTTGACAGCCCAGTCAGCGATACTGGGCGTATCGCCCCAGCTCATCATCTGCACTTGACTCCCCGTCATCGTCCCCAAAGAAAGCGCTCAGGGTCATTTTTCTCTTTTTTGGCTGCGAGGGCCTGGGCTCCATCACCCCGGCCCCGCTGCCGCTGGCTTCTTCGTCCGGTGGTTGCCGTCGGCGTCTTCATCACCATGATGCACTGATGGCAGTTCGTTATACTCTGTAGTGATTTGTTCTCTTACTGCATCTTGCACATCCGACGGGAGAAAGCGCAGGTGCTTGTGGCGGGGATCAAGAGCTGCAGCAAGCATAGCGGCTCTCCCTGCTTCTCTGTATTTGCGGGATCCATCCGTGTCTTCAGTGATGTAGATACTGTTTTCTTGAAGTCGGCCACTGTTCTGGGATCATCCGCACATCTGAGTAGATGTCTGAGAGACAATGGAAAAGTAATTAAATTGTGCTGATAATAATAATCGGTGCAGTGGATCACATTAATCAATCACATCAATACCGAACATAGCCTAAAAGACTAAATCTATATAGCCCACGCCTAATAATAATTAGGCTTGGGCTATATAGGCTACAAGATTTGGATAAATAATGCAAGAAATCATAATGTATTATTATAGACTGCGTTATATTTTATTTACCTGTCCAACAAAGTCATTGTGACTGGCACTGACTCCCAGTCCAACATTGAGTTGTTTGCCAGCACCATGTTGGCTGCATTATCATGAACGAGGCGATCACTTTTCCTTCCAGGCCCCGTTTATTGGTGGATGTGCGCAGATGGTCAGCCAGGTTAGCTGCAGTGAGTCGCTCCTCCAGAGCTAGTGTTTGGAGCAGTCGACTGACCATTTCCCCATTAACAATAAAATGAAATGTTATTGTCATCAATGACTCGGTGGTATTATTGGATGTCCAGCTGTCGCTTGTGATTGCAACATATTCAGCCTTTTCCATCAGCTTTGTGATGCCTTCTCTCATATTATCATGCTCCACCTTCAACCTTGACGTTACCATTTTCCTCCCGGGCACCGGGTACTCCAGCTCAGTGTAATTAAACAGTTTGTTGAAGCCCTCGCCTTAAACAAAGTTGAATGGCAGCATGTCTCTTGCTGTCATTTCTGCGATGAGCTGCGTTATTTTTTCTGACCGAGCAGGGTCACAGTGACGTCTGATAGCTGCTGTAGTAGTATACGAAGTAATGTGGGATTGTGTGCTCTGGCTCGCTCCTTCATTGAGATTTACGTCAAGGTGTTTGCCCGTGATGTGATTTCTCAGCGACCCAGTAGAACTTTTATATGATAGTTTAACTAGACACAATCTGCATGACACTTGTGTGCCGTCTTTATCTAAATCAAAATACTCCCAAACTTTGCTCTTTTTTCTTACCGACATTGCTCTGGCTGATCGCATGTATTGATTCACTCTGAGGAAGTTTACCCACGATGCATGCTGCAGGCCAGCGCTGGGAGCCCAGAGCAGCGAGCCAGGCTGAGTCGCACGCAAATGATCCACACATTTTAGCTTGTTTAATGCACACTTTTATTAAGACATGACGGTAAACATGTAATGTAATTAATAAAACAATTAAAAGTCCCCCCCCCCCCCTTTTTTTAAAATCTATAAACGAATATTATTTACTAAACAGATAGTAAGGACAGCCCCGTTTACATGAATATCAGAATAACTGCGCATCTCCCTAATAATAGGTTGGAATGGTCTAAGAATATAGACTTCATCTACAGAAAGGGGCAGAGCCGCCTCTTTTGCCAAGGAAGACTCAGATCAATTGACATCTGTAGTAAGATGCTGCAGATGTTTCATCAGTCTGTGGTGGCAAGTGTTCTGTTCTACGCTGCAGTCTGCTGGGAAGGAAGCATCAAACACAAAGATGCAAGACGTCTGAATAAACTGGTGAAAAAGGCTGGCTCTGTGGTTGGACAGAAAGATTCAGAAGATCTTTTGTACCTACAACCATCAGACTTTACAACTCTTGTGTAAATAGTAGATAACTTTTATAGACATATTAAGTGAAACAACAGACAATTGAATTTCCCTTAGGGATTAAGAAAGTTCTTTTTCTTCTGATGAAGAAGAAGCAAAAGTTATGGTGATAAATTCAGTTGTCACACATGATAAAAAATTGCAATGTTCATGTTAGGGCTGCACAATTAATCAACTATAAATAAAACAACAATAAAACAGGTCCAAGATGGCATAAATCTGTATACAACTACCGTTTCATCTCCATGTGAATGCCGACCTGTGTCTCTCTTAAAACAATTATTTAACACTCAGCGCAATGGTTTTAAGGCTCCTGTATGAGCCTGACCAAAACACCTTTATATGTAGGCTCAGTTCTCTTCTTCTGTCTTTTGTGCATTCCTTGGGCAGTGTTACAGCACCACATATTGCCTCGGCATATCCTTCCTCCTGTGTTAGCTTTCATGACACACCAACCACGTTAATGGATCGGTTTCGACCAGCGTCTCAAAACAGCTGCAAAATACACTTAAAACAATTACTTATCATTCAATTTCGTTCTCATCTTCAGGTGACCTTGTTAGGCTTCATTATCCATCCATTATTCATTATCCACATCCATCCATTATGGCTTTTAATATTTTTTGGTGTGGGCCTCTTGCCTTTTATTTTTCAGTATACCCCTCACACAGACATCTATACTGAGTTGGTTTCATATGTGAATGAAGTGGAGATGAAGCCATGGGCTTACACATGCACATACATGAAGAACACACACAACACACACACACACACCCTCCAACTCAACACCTTCCCCAGTGTCTGTGCTGCAACACCCTCTCTCCCCGACACCTGCTTTACATTGCTTTATAATCTAACCGGGTAGGCAGTGACCCTAACAAGACAAGTGCCATAATTTTAACCAGAGCATTTTAAGATTTAGTAAATTTTCTATTTTTTTTTTTATTTTGTTAAAATTGTGTCACTTTGTCACTTTACTAAACCCAAGGAGGATTTATCATTCAATTGCGCTTCATTCCTAAAAGGGAAATTTGTTTGCTGTTTTCTAAAATAAAAATAATATTTGAAAACACTCATATTGTTGCTTTTTGTAGTTTTTACAAAAAAAGAATCTAAATCCAAAACCAAGTTATCAGAAGAAAAATCTGGATTTTATTTTTGGCCAAAATCATGCTGCCCTAATTCACGTTATGAAATTGTACTAATACTTTTGTGACTCCCCATTTAAATGGTAAGAATAAAGGCTTCTACTCCTGCCAGTCTGAATATAGAGGAAACATCTTGAGGCTGTTTAGACTGCTGCTGCACAACTCTGTTCAAGCATCTCTTTTCTGATTTGTGCATGTGCAATAGTTTGAGCTCAGTGTCAAGCAAACAAAATCAACCAGGTCATGCTGCCACTTGTTTTCTATATTTGAAAAGAAAACTTACCTGATTCTCATGTGAGTGTAAAGGAAGAGCAAAAAAATTCCTCTGATATCACATCAGTGCTGCTCTGCACCAGCTGACCAGATGGAGACAGGCATGTGATGCTGCTGCTGTCACAGATAATGTCTGCAGGGTGACACATGCAGACTTTGTTCAGGTGAGGCAGCTTTTGTGTGTGTGTGTGTGTGTTCAAGTTATCAGTGGTGCTGGTGGCTCTACTTAAGGAGCAGATGTGTTGCTGAGGGTTACATTTCAGTGACTGAAGCCTGTTATGCTCGCTGACAGGATGCAGGAGCAGGTGGTTCTTCGTTCAAATGAGTATTTGTCAAAGGCTGATCATGCAAGCAGATAAAATACACTTTTGAACATTTGGAAGAGATAGTTTACGGCATTAACTACAACACCCGCAAGTATGGTTTACAAAATCATGCATGCCTCCACCTGTTGTCTCGTATTGTCTTCATGCTAGTGGTAATGTCACTGGATAATTTCCTCTATATTTAATGCATATTTTCAAGCTTGCTTATAGATTTATTCATTCAGTTATTTATTTATTGTGCTTTTATTGAGATATTGAGTGCAGAGACAGAGAAAGAAGTGGGGAAAGGACACATGGGGTAAGCATTTGAAAAAAAAAATACTTGGGTCATCTAATGATTAATATTGTCATTTGTGGTAATTACCGAATTCCAATGGCCAACCATGGTAATCCGATTTTTAAATGGCATCTTTAAAAGAGGGATGGGCATTTTTAAGACAGTCCCTTGATTGATTAATCATATGAATTAAAGATCAATCATCAATATGATCGGTTTTTAATGTGAATGGCAGAAAATATGCAAAAAACGTGTTTTTCCTCATTGAAATTTCAAAAAGGAGTGCATCTGCAAAGAGTTTCTTCCCGTTGGGTTTAATTTATCACCTAAAATCCAAACATCCCAATCGCTATTTCACTTCTCACTTTTTTTCATAGATTTACCTGAAATCAACTTCTCAACTCAAACTCAAACTTGGCTGCTTGAAATGAAGCACAATGACGATATTTCTTCTAACTGCATCTCTACCACGCGCAACACTTCTTCTTTCAAAACCTTTGAGTTGTTTTTGCCTCTGACTCATGGGTATCATCTAAAGGTGTCAACAACATAGAACATGCAGCAACACATTTCTTTTGGTGTTTCTGTTTTCGGCCTTTGTTTCTTCATTTTTGGTTTTGAATTTTCATTTTGGTGCATTCCTAAGAAAGACCCATAACTGTGCATAATTGCTGAAGATATGCAGCCAAGAAATATGAATAGACATTATCTAGATGTGCTAGCTTTGCCTTATTGACCTGATTTCTGTTTTCTGGTTATTTTTTTCAAAGATGCACCGGACAGAATTCAAACAGCAGCAGGAGTCTCTGCATTTTCCTCCATTTCTCACCACTGACATCTTAACTTTATTATTATATGAACATCAGAAATCAATCCCTTAGGATTTTGCAGGATTTTTTTGCGATTGTTACAGCCTAAAATACCTGATTTTGAAGCAGCTTTTCTGAAAAATAGCGGTGAAAGTTTTGATCATTTGAGGATTTTTAAATTAAAATCACAGGAACACACACACACACACACACACACACACTCGATGATACACAAATGAAAGCATGCATCCCCAAGTTTTTTATTCTTCACTTATATTGCTTTAAAGAGTATATCTGCACATACCTTGACCCTTACAGCCACTGCTATTGTTCTGGATGCAACAGCCTCTGTCATTGTGACTTGTCTCGTCTGTCCTCTTTGAGTTTCAGCTGTTCTCCTTGCATGTTTTGCAGTCAAAAAGTGTCTGTCGTGCGACAACGTTTGCATGTGTAGCACAACAGTATTGCAGGCAGTGCAGAAGAGTTTACCTCTGCTTTCATGTAACACATCTGGAAACTGTCTTGCACAAGCTTTGGTGGTGAGTTTTGTTGGCAAATGTGAGCGTTTAGCGTTGCACATGCAACATCATGAATTTCTGGAGGGGCTGAAAAATCAAAAGCCCCTGATTTCTGAATTGACATTTAAGAGCAGAGGGTCAGAATCAACAGTGTGCTTTAAAGACCACGGCCTCTGTACATGGGGCATACAACAAAAATGCTCAGCTAAAGCAGCATCCCTGTCTCTCCGTCTGTTCTATGTCAACATGCCTGGACAGATTGAGATATATTCCAGTACTGAAGTTTTTCCATAGCTCTGAATCTGTCCTACTGTTGAACTGCAGAAGGTGTACAGCTTATACCAGGTCTCATAAGCT